GTGACGGAGTTTCTCCTCCGCTGAAAAGTGAGATCCGGCGCCCGCCTGTACATCGACTCTCGGGGACTCCCCCCCCCCCCAAATGTGTCACGATCAGGTCACTGCCCCAGCCAGATCTCAATCTAGATGTGTGGTAGTATAGTGCACGTAAGAAAGGGTGTGGGGGGAGGAAGAGAAAGGAAAGATTGTGCGCGCCCCGTAGTCTTTTCGTTAGGGTAGAGCTCCGGTATTCGCCTCCTCTTGATCGAACAAACGACAAACAACCGGTCCCAGCAGCCGGGAGCTGGAATTCGCCAGAGAGCGACGAATTCGACCTCCCTGTTGAAAATTAGTGGCGTCGAAACTAACCCTATGATCTGCCTGAAAGAGTCGTTGCAGACCATGGTAGTGCTGGCTCGAACCTAACTCAGGTAGTTTGGGTGGTGGTGTTTAGATCTGAGCAAATGGTGTGGATGAGATTTTGCAATATTTTAGAAGAACGTGTAAGTCTATAATATTGAACGTTAACTATTTCCAGAATCAGTTTCTCTCGATAGAAAATTTCAAAGAAATCCGAACTTTTGCAGATCTTTTAAACACCTAGACATTTCTAATATGATATGATATTCGGTAATAATGCAAATTTGCCTATTGATTATTAAAATGTATCTTGCTCATTTACATAAGTGGAAGACTGTGGTACTTTTCTAGTTCTAATACTACAAAATGGCGGTCGGTAATTCAATTTTGAGGAGCTAGGGCGCGCTTCGAATGTTAACGAGATTGAATAATTTATTTAGCAATTTATTAGATCATTTTTTTTTCGATGTGAATAATGCAGATTAGGTAACTGTACCAAAATATTACCGAGGCAATAGCATCAATATTTGATGAAACAAAGACCGTAGTATCGATTCCGAAATCAACTGAAGCATCACTACGTCCCTAATGGTGAGATTCATGGTAGAATATAATTTTTCCAGGAATGACATGCAATAAAGGCTTGGGGAACAGCAGGGAAGAGCAAGAGGGTGGCAGCAAAGAGCAGCGAGGGAGTGCCGAGTCAGCAGGTAAGCAAGGAGGGCGGCGGCCCCGGGCAGGAAACGCCACGAAAAGACCCAGAGGAGGGTGGACAATGGCGAGGACCGCACCGTGGGAGACCGCGGGGAGGAGGAAGTCGAGAAGGTCCAGTCCCCTCGGGAGGGCGGTCGGAGAGCGGTCTGGCGACGTTGCCGTTGCAAAGGTCTCCGCGAGGGGCGAAGGCGCGGGAGTTGCATCAGAATTTCCAGGCGCCCCGCGCCTCGAGCTGCTTTCCCTTTGGCGGAGAGATGGAAGTTTTGCCGGCGGCGGAGCGGGCGGAGAAAGCACGGACTTGTGCATCTCGCGGAGACGGAACCCAGACGTCGCTCATTCGTCGGAAGACACAAACGCGCACAGCGAACTGAGACGAGGTGAAGATCGCGCGAGTAACAAACACACAAACACCAAATCAATTTTTAAGCACCTCTATTGTAACCTAATTAGAGCTACGAATTCTGTTTTTTTGAAATCCTCCAATTTCTGCATTGAATTTACTGTGCAACAATTCTTAGATCTACATAAGACGTTGACTGAGCGTTTTTTCACCAGTTACGAGTAGCACCTCACGCCCGCAATAACAGGGGCAAACGTCTGCGTTCAAGCTGGTGCAAAACGTGTTCTAATCTAAATTCCAATCGATTATTTTGACAAAAAATGGAAAATAAATTAAATAGCAATTGTTAAAAATAACAATCGAGCAAAAATAGGTTTCGTTCCGTAACTCTCAAACATATTTGAGAAATGATTTATTATGTTACAACAGCGAGAAATTTAAGAGAAATGTACCATAAATAAATAGGTTAGTAACAGGCAAAATTTGTACATGTGCCCCCTCCAATTTTATACTCATCGCAAAAATAAAATAATTAAAATTATATATTTCCTGTACCTAACAAATCAGGATAATGCAAAATACTTTTCATTTCTATGCGTTCCACGTTTCATCAGTCTGGCATAACGAGATAACAGTGCAAGGAAAACAGGTACACTTCAAAATGTCATGTTAAATTCGAGGACACACTGTGCTCTGTTACCTTTCCTGCAAGCTTTAGCTGTAAACAACCGTTAGAACGACCGAGATTTTGCGAAGGTTAAAGAAATGCAAAGTGCTCCTTTGACATTAACTAGATGTCCTGGATACTCGCATGGAAATCTATATCATACCTGTAGGTAGAGGTTCTGAGTTGCTTGCACCGCCGTGATACAATTTATTGAAATGAATATAACACTGGAAAGCTATTAATTGCTACTATTTAAAAACTATAACTACATAGCGTTAGCTCCAGCACACAAAAATCCTCTGGATTTATCGAGTCAAGATCAAAATGAAATGACCGCATACAGGGTATCTAAATACCGACGGATATTGCGAGCCGGGTGTATCGAGCCGAGTCTTAGCACTTGGCAATCCGTCCGTACCACCTCGCACCGGGCATCTAACCCCGACGACGCCGGGTAAACTAGCAGCACGCCCGGCGGGCGGCGGTCGTCGGCCGCGAACTTCCGGCGGCAGGGCCACGCCTGCACCAGATAAGGAAGGCGTCCGTCCCCGCTCCTCCCCGACGTTGCCCTGTTCTGTCCTTTTCCCGCTCACCCACGAGCACTTGATTTATGGAGAGAGGGAACGTCGCGGACGAAAACAAATCATACGCCGCTCCCGCTCGGCGAATAAATCCAGCGCGTGGGCGGGGCGGGGCGGGGCGAGGTGCGGGCGCCTGTCGATCCACCCGAGCGCATTCATCACTACACTTCCGATTCTCAGGCTCTCCAACTTCCACTTTAGGCGCCTAAACTAGGCTCTTTAAAAGGCAAAAAAACACGAACATTTCTTGAATAGCCTGTGTAAATTGAGGTGAAGAATACATTTGATTTAACGATAAACTCAGTAATTAACACTTTTGCTGACACTTACTGTAAACGGTTCTATTTGTCACACTATATCTGAAGGTAATGCGAATTGTGGCGTTCGTACTATCGTCATTCACACCAGAGACACGCAATTCACAATGTACTGACAATTACTACATTTAGCTGAAGTTTAATTAAGTGAATGCATGCTTATTCGTTTGAAGCAGGGTGGACAAAAAAAGACGCAGGTACGTTTAAAAAAATCGCAAAACCCACTGCTAAGTTTTACACCTTTTTTTCAGCCTTCTAGATCTTTAATAAAACTCATTCCACTCGCAGACAGATAAGACAGGGAGATTTAGATTGATCAACTGATTACTCGAATCTCGTTGCTCCTCAGATCGAGCTACGCCCAAATACACAAACCGAAACTATTTCTATGAAGTTAACCAAACTGATTAACCTGGATAGTAATTTGAGACAATCTAGCGATAAAAAATCAAACTGGATTTGAGATAATGTTTCAAGCACATGCAATACAAATTTTCCTATTCTTCACATGTATTTACTGCGAAACTTTGACGCGATCTGCGAAACTAAAGAGTCCCCGTAATTATAATATACAGAAAAGATATTCACGGATAAGTAGCCATTTTTAAGCTGTAATGCTGACGACAATTTTAGACCTATACATCTAGTTCATGTACCATCATAAAATCATGAAAACGCGAGTATAATTAATTTCAATGTCTACGTCAAAACAGTAACATAGGCATTGGCCTATAAATTTGATATCTATCTATCTCCACGCCGCGCGGGGCGTCACGCGGGTGGGGAAAATTGTCCATGGGCGCTGTGCGCGGCCGATCGGTCGCCACTAGGTCACGAACGCGCACTCTCGCCGCGCACCGGCACACGACGAGCACCCGTTAAGTGGCACGCGGCCGCGTGATCGGCATCGCGTGGGCACGCGCGTGTGACGGCCGGGTCAGATGACTTATCATACAGCAGGTGGGAGCAAGAGGCGCGTAATGAGAGCAAAAGTTTTTGACAGAAGAAAGCAAAGGCCGTTTCGCATCGCGCGTGTCATTGGCGTGAATTATGAAATTATTATTGTTATTTAAACTATTATTCGTATTATTATTACGACATTTTATTACTTCAGCTTGGAGGTCGTATTACACCAACAAATAATTGTTCATAATTATTACGGGTAATGATAGATACGCGAGATGATAGGAGATGGATGGTGGTTTACTATTTCTCTCAATGTCACGATGACAAAGTGAAAATACCCACAACTTTCACGAAATCCACCACTGTGCGTTTCATGCACACCGACTGGCGCAATAGCTGTATACTTTAAATAGGCAAAGTCAGATTAAATCAGAAGATTACGAAAAAAATGCTGAAGTGCCCGCTAGATACCAGCTATCGGTTTTTTAACATCTATTTATATTAAATCGTGAATTATTAAAATATTTCAATATAATTTGTTTAAATTACCAATGTTCTAGTATATTTTCTCATTTACTTTCATTACTGTGTTCACCATTTCAATCTTATTAAGCAACCCCAAGTTTGGTTTTGCTTAGAAGCTCAGACGCTAATCCGAATCTGCTCGCCATCTACAATTATTTTAACATCTTATACCAAATCAAATGAGATTCCTTCCGAATTGAGGACACTGTTTCTTCATCACATGACTACACACGATGTTTCATTGTAAATATTTTTTGAAGAAACTATTGTACGGAGGAAGCAAACTAGCTTTGATACTCCCTTTCCAAAGAGGCGTTCACCTTCAAATGACCTACAACTGGCCGCTCCTGCACTGAAGATCAAGAATTTGAAATGTCTCGTATCTCCTGCTATCTGGCATTGATTCAAACAAACATCGTATAATTAGAAGATAAACCATAATGAATAATATTTATATTCTAGTAATCAAAACAAGACATTTACCTATCTATTTACGTACAGCATCGACAGGCAAATGAATTAGAAATCATAAAATAGCCCTTTTCGTAATCATGAAATACCCCTGACTCCTTCACAACGTCCCCTACAGTTAATGTCTGCCCCTTCCTCCCCTATGCTTTCTCCTGCACCTGCTCCTTGTTCTTCCGGATATAAATACACAAGAGACGTAACGAAACGTCCAGCGATTCACCAAGAGCAACTGAAAGACGCCGCGACCTCTGGCGCGAGTCCCAACTTCGACGGAGAACTAAAAAATAAAAAAGTAAAATAGAGGAGCCGACTTGTTTGGCGTGCGCAGCCCTCCGCCATTCGCCCCACATACTTGGCGTGGCGCGGGAAGGGGGGTGTGGGTGCACGACCTCTTCCTGGGAGGGGGGAGGGGCGAGCACCCTCGCACACAGGCGGAACGCCGCCTATATAAATGCCATTCCTGGGCGCCCGCCCCGCGATTCCTTCACAATTTCTCAGCCTCCCTCCGCCTGCGAGTTTGCCATTCGGGCTCTTCAACTGTAGACGCGCGGCTAGTGACGCGCACGTGACGTCAAAAGGGGGCGTGGCAGCGGCGACGCGACAATGGTGCACGAGCGCGCCTGACGGCTGGCCGTACAGCCGTTCGGCAATACAACACTTTCCCCAACTGTTACAGAACGATTCGCGATTGCTTCGTTGCGTGTAGGCGATAAGAAAATTTACCCGTATCTGGTGTTGGGCCCCAAGGTCAGCCCCCCCCCCCTAACGACTCCGTCATTAATGCAGGTCTGTCACGTCTCCATTTCAGAGACCAGCAGATAACGCTTTATTTCCAGACTCTCTTGTTATGATAAATCGCTTCACTACAACTCTTCATAAACGTAACAATTGTGAAAATAGGTTGACCTTCATCAAGATCGTATCTAGTGAGCTGTATGAATAATATAACAATAGCGTAGTCTTTAAGGTTCTTTACCAGTTCGCAAACAGTTCATATTAAATTTTGCAACTATTGAAAAGATAGCGCCAGGGGCAGACGTAACAGGGCTTATCTGATTATTACAATATTTTCGGGGTGAAATGTCAATAATCCTAAATACATATAGCTTATCTTTTGTTGACTGAACAAACTTTAATTCCAGTATTTTTCCCCCTATAGTCTTATTCGGGTTCACTAATATTTAGTGCTAATACTCTACTAATATTTAAGATTCTATTTAAAGACTTAGTAGACGTATTCTCTTGCACTGACGAATCTGTTTAATTATTACATAGCTGCACTACTGCATAGCTACGATCCTTTTCATCACACGTCGCATCGACCTACATCAACGTCGTCACTTTCTAATCCAGACCTTGACCTCCTGAACGGACACGCAGAGACATCGCATCAACATGTAAAAGGGTATACAAGTCGGAACAAGTGGAGGCGCCAATAAAACAGTAGAAACTACGATCTTCCGTAGAAAAATTAAACCCACAAACTTCACGAGAAGTGCGCTTCATAAAAATTAAATACGATCGTGACCAATGGGCGCCGTGGCAACAAGTCCTTCTCGACAAACATTCAACAGGTGCGACGTCATGCTCGCAGTAAGCGATTAGTACGTCGAGGAACACGCCATCACCTGTGTCACTGGGATTACGTAACAAAGGTTGTCTATTATTCCATCACAAAGAAATTAATATTTTCCTCAAACCTCCATCGTTCACTTATTGACAGTTGCGTAACAGTAGTGCAGGGGAGACCAGTGGCAAACAAACCGAATGACCGCAGGGCGTGTGTCAATTTCGCGTCCCGGGGCGAAATAACCGACCGATAAGGGCCGCCAGGCAGCTGTACTCACGGAGGTGTCGAGGGGCGATGCGGTGCGCGGGTCCGGCTGCTGCGGGGCGACTGCTGAGAGCGCGGAGCGGATCGGCGGTCGGTCGGCGCGGAGTAGGGCGCGCGCGGGGCGGGTGCGCGGATATAGCGAGCGGCTGCGACGACGTCGACGGCGGTGGCGGGGGCGGGCGGGGCGGGCGGGGCGGAGTTTCACCGCTGACGCGTCGGGTTGCAATAAGCCGTCGCCCGAGCAGCGTGGTTATACGTGCCGGCGAACGCGTGGCCGCAAAGGCGCCCGCGCGCGCCCTAGCGGCCGCCGGACGGAACCAGCGCCACGGCCGCCGGGCGGGAAGCAACTCACTCAGCGATGCCGCTGAAAGCTTCAGCGGCGCGGGCGGATATGCGTGATTAGCCGCAAACACAGGCTCGGGTTGGTTGAAGAGACCTCGGGACCGGATAAAATGTGCCCCTAGCACCAACATACTTGTTTCTGACCGCTGTCCTAATGCGTCCAAGGTCTAGGGCCGCTAAGCCTCATGCGACCTGTTGTTGGGTACCTCAATAATATTGAAATATTTAGCATATGTATTTAACATTAATATGAAAATAATTATTACAATTGCAAAAGTAATAAATTAAATAAAAATTCATTTAATATTTATCAATTAAAATAAAATATTTATAAAAGTTTTTCGAGACCCTTATCTAGCGGAAGCTCTTTGCACTTACTTGCACAGTCTACTTCCAAGTTATGGGTGGCCCATCCGCAATGTAAAATGTGTAATTCGTGTTCAATCCAGACTTGCCTCACGAAGAACCATCACGCAACTGAATTTCATCCATGAGAATATTATGAGTGCCTCATTATCGTATAACACACTTAAGTGTATGTATCTTCAAAGCAAGATAATAAAGTCCAATACTCCCACATTTTATATAGATCCAACCAACAAGTAACGATAATATATAATAAAGTAACATATTAACCACATTACTTAGTTTGAAGAAAGTTCCAAATAGAATGTGTACGTTGTTATGTGTCGCACAAGTTCAAACAAATTTGGATTTTAAAGAATTACTCGGTAAGAATTAGACAAAGCCTCGGCAAAGAATTACCAGGTTTGGTAATTCTCTAATCCAGTAAGTTCTGTAATTCTTAGGGGTGTGGTTGCGTGAAATTCATGTTAATTCTTTGCGTTTTAAGCACTTCCACTTCCCAAAACATCTCTATGAAAATGTGAAAAATGCAACACACATGTGATTTTACACACATACAATACATATTAATCGCCAAAATATGAAAGAACTTAAACATCGAAGATGAATGAATATTCTAAAATCATGAACTGTAAGAAACAATGAGTTTTTAAAGATTAGATTACAATCATACATCAATTAAAAATATTAATTAGTTAAAAGTCTGCAAAATTGCTAAGAGTTAATTGGCGACATGTGTAATGCGGAACATGATAGAATATGCGTTTTAAAGAGAACTCTCAAAACTTAGCTTTCATTCATATTACATTTTAATATATTTAAAAACATTCATCCTACCATCTTCTGAAAATTAATCACAGCAATGGGAAAAACGAATCAATATTAACAAAAAATGATATATTGTTGATAGAATATTTTTGTCTGCATGGAAACTGGTCAGGATGAACCTATTTTCAATTCTTCCACGACAAATCACAAAGCAACTTCATCTGATGCAGATGATAGCACATCGATCCTGCGACGATGCGATGGAAAACTAGTTCGCAATTTAAGAAGTCATCTACCTTCTACTCGACAGCATCGCTAGTGACCTTCAGGTAAATGTTTACAAGGTCGGTAATTGTGACTATTCTTGAACAGGGTGTGAGTAACGACTTCCCTCATGCACTCCAGACATGGCCAGTTTGGATTGTTGCTAGTTCACACGAGATATTTCCTACATCTCCCACCTTTGTCCTCAGAACAATGAACTATTACCATATCTTTCATAACATCTAACCAACACTGGTGGACATTGTCTGCCAAAGCTATCAATAGTAAATTATAATCCAACTGTCAATTACTAACGGAACATCAATTATTTAAAAAATATCTTTTCATAAATCGTCAGTGCATTAGTGCACGTAGAAAAGAGGCATCTCAAAAATCGTCATTTTTAATTAATTTTAAAAAATGCATTTTGAAAATAGCATGTTTTCATTAGTTAAAATTTCAAAGTTATAGTTCACAAACACCAGGTATTTGCATCAAAACCCTGTCCCATATCACGAAATATAAAAACGGCACCAATAACAAGTTTTTAGATGTGTCGCTTTCCTTTTGTACCCACGATGATCAGAATCCGCAGATTGGAATTACTAGATTTATCTTATTATTTAGGAAGCAAGATAAGCATCAGCATGACGAACTTTAATTCTTGGTCGAACAATGGTGGAATAATTTGCGATAAAAATTATCTTAAAATAGCCAGCAATTTTTTGGGGTAATTTACATCAGATACTAGTTAATTTACTCGTGCATCCAGAAATTTGTGAAACATACCATATTATCTTCAAGAAATTGAAGCGTTTCTCATGAATAAAGTGGCAGGTACTATTTCTACACGCAAGCACATTCCGAAAAGTGTGATATGGCACGTCAGCTGCACGGGAAAGCAACTTGTACATTTCCCTGGCTAGTGTACACCATTCTGGGCAGCCCTGCTCCAGAAGACTGGCGGAATTCTATTGCTCTTTAGTGGTCCCCCAAGTAGAAAGCGGGCCCTCCAGCTTTCAGACCGTTTCAGCACCTGCTCTTTTCAGTAAGCGTTTTAACGGAAAAGGGAGCTTGCAATGGCGTGCCACTTTTCTTCCTGTAACACTACACCACTTCAAGGATGATACTTCAAAATTTGTCATATCTGGGGTTCGTTACTTCAAACTACGTCAAGTAATCTCGTTACAAAATTTCATCAGATTCAAGGAAGTACGCTCACTCATTATTCATAGAATTCACGGAAATAGTGACAAGGAAATTTCTCCTCAAACCAAAAGCCAGTCATTTACAGGTGGGAGAACGCTAGAGATTTCAGCTGTTTGTCTATTGGTAAAACGAACATTGTGCAAGGAAACACGAGAAACAGTCGCATACATTTACATTATTGGTAATAAATATGAAAGTAATGGTTTATCAAATATATTAATTATACAGGTTAAATTATAAATTGATGGATGTGTCACAATGACAAGTCAACGCATTTGACAGTCTCTTTGTTACTTAGAAAAAAATCTGAATACGCAATGCTTTGCAATGAACTAAGACAATTTGCAAAGAACTAAAAATTTTGTTTTTTACTAAATATTTAGTCAGACATAGTTTGCATATAACTTTTTGTCAGGCATTGAGACACTAACGTCAAATTTCGTGATGCTACGTAACTATATCACGAAATTCTATCACATCAGCGTGACTAATGAAATCATGCATAGTTATAATTTTAATTTATCTATTTTACTTACGAAGTGTACCATATTGAACATTCAGACGCACTTCGGGTAGGCCTTGATAGGTATCGAATTTTTTCGTCGTACAGCGCTGTAAGAAGACCCCTTCCTGCACGCCTAAGCTCAACTTTAAGGTGGTCAATCACAAAAGTATCAATCTCATAAGAACTCGAAGACTTCTGCGTTGTTATGGAAATCAAACGAACAGGAGTGTCACTTCCCACAGGTTCAGGAATAAGGATGTTAAGAATCACGGGGAAAAAGAATAAGTGAACTTCCTGATAGCATTTTGTTTTCATGCTTTTCAGTATATTTCTTGGTTCGACCACAGATGAAAGGATATAATTTGGTGTAGATCTAGCACTGATACACCAATTACATGCATTAAAATACGACAGGATCATGAATCCGAGATATGAGTGCAAAACACAACAGATCACACATGACCCAATGAAAAACACTGCAGATATATTTTACGGAAATAAACCGTATGTGCTTCGGACCTACATCTCGCATTTCGATAAACGTCACTTGCAGAAAAACGCAATCCCAACATTTCTAAATTCGACGCCATTTCTAAATTCTTTAGACATTGGAGCTAATTTATGATTGACGGAGCAATGAAATGGAGTATTACAAAGGATTACACGTAGCTCACTAGCGTAACATCGCCCAGCCCTGAGAGACTCCGGTATGAGAAAACCGCGTGTTTTCGTGTAGGTGTGTAGGGGTTAAAGGCTATTAGCCCAGAGTACCGCCCAAATCGGCGAACGGACATCGGAGACCCGCCGAGCTGACAGCCGCCTGCGCCTCCTCATCCGACATTAACGAGACGGGCGGGCAGCGCCATCCGCGCGCCGACATCCAAGACGGGCAGCCCGCTGCCAAGCCCAACTCCGGCGCTGGCAGGCCGTCACGGCGCAGCACGACGGCGGCAAGCGCGCGAAGTCGGACGGAGCGGAGCGGGGTGGGGCGGGGGAGGAAGCCGAGGTCGGCGACCGGGTGCATTGCGTCACGCGGCAGGCGGGTTGCACGGCCGGGCCGGGCCAGGCCGCGCCGCGCCGGGCCGGGCCGTGCCGCGGGGCTGAGGCCGGCCCACGGCGCAGGACTGGCGGCGCAGTGCAGCAGCGCGCGGGTGACGCAGCGCACCTAGCCCCGCCCCGCTTACGCCCGCCTCCACCAGCTCTGCCACACCCGCGCCGCCGCGCTCTTGGACCCACTGCCCCCCAGGCCTGCCGGCGCAGTGCGCTCGTACGGGGCACGCCGCCAAACTCCTACTCCTCCATTTCGCAATTACTAAATATTCCCCTTGCCATATTATACTGGATTTGTCGAAGAAGAAACAACAAAGGGAGGAAGGCCTTAATTTTAAAAATCAAAAAAATTCTTTACAAATTCACTCTGATGGTTACGAAAGCGAGAAAAAAAATGTGTCTAATGAAGGTTTATGGCAAAGGTTGCTCGTTGATCAATATCACATACACACTTACAGTGGTGTCAGTAATAATGCTTCATTTAAATACAAAACAAAAAAAAAAAAAATTATTATTTTAATATAAATTATTAATTAAGTGTTTCTCACATTTCCTCTCTCATGCCATCACAGCTACGTCATCATTCATAATCACCTAATATCTAAAAAAATATTTTTTCTAAAGTTTGCTATAATCCTAAGGCGTAGAGAAATGATATTTCCTTAAGTCTATTCCTTAGGCATTGGCATCATAAATAAAGGACCGGAAAGGAAAGCCGCAGAAAAGCTGCTCATATATTAGGCGCCATTTTTTATTTTTTTACTTTTTCGCCATCCTACGTACTTACGTAGTAAAGAGAAACTATTGCAAGTCTGTGGCAAAAATAGGCGATTTTTCGACAAAAACTCATATTGTGAGGCCCTATAATCGAAAAGTCAGATAAATCTCATTTTTATGAGTAGTAGATTACTTTCTCGAATACTTCGTGGAGTCAGAATCCATGTTTTGTGGGTCATTGTTATCTAAAAA